GCCCTGGCCAAATGGGAAATAGAAGCTGGGCACAGCATTGGCAACCTAAATAGTCATGGGTGTGTGAGCAGTGATGAACTCATTCCAGGAGAGGAGCTATATTCCATTAGTACTTGGTAGCTGTGTGGGCAGTCAGGGTACAAACCCCTCCTGTCTGTTCCCCTGTAATATACAGGCCCCATCTATGCCCCTGATATTCATTCCCTTAAGTCCTAGGATCTACAGATGTGAAGAGAGTGATAAACTGTTCTCCCTTCTCTGGACAGAGATAATTTTCAGAGGTCTGGCTTGCAATGAATGGGAAGAAGCCAGACTACACCACCCTTTTCTAACCTAGAAGCCTTCATGGGCTAGCTGTCAGGTGCCCCAGCTCTAGCCCCCAGAGGCTTCTAAGAAACCTCCACCTGCAGCTGATTTTTCCCCTGCCCCTTCCTATAGAGATATCTCATGAGCTCCATGGGGAGCTGGCAAAGGAAGGGTCAGATGACTAAGCAGGAAAACATGGGGGAAGGGAGCCTCATAAAGCCCCAATTAGAACCCACTCACCAGCCACCAACCATCCACTGACTAATAGAAGGTCAGAGCTGGGATAGCCCTTAGAACACAGACTATAAAAGCTAGGAGGGACCTTAGAACAGAGAATGTCAGAACTGAGAGAGTCCTTAGAACCCAGAATGTCAGAGCTGAAAACCTTTATCAGATTAGTCCAAATTTCTTGTTTTATGGATGGGAAAATTGAGTCCTGGAGAGGGGAAGGATGCCCTGGGAGGAATTTGTCTTCATTAGCTGGTGCCTTGTTCTGATCACTGTCACTCCTCTCATGGTTCAACAAGCTAATGATGTATGAATTTCTACATCTAGAAGTGATAGCAAATGACAGATCAAGCTTGTTATTATTATTACTTCTTATTGTTATTTTTTATTCTTATTCAATAAGAAATCACTACCGTGAAACTGACTGAAACTGCACAAGTAGCTCCCATTATGGGAGACAACTAGGCAGAAGAACCTTTTGCATTAAGTATCATTTCTTGTAATCCATTTTGCTTATATATTAAAAGCTAATTTTCCTTCCAACCATGGGACTTGGAGCTTCATAAATTCACATGCCAAAAGGGTAATACAATTTTCTTTTCTTTTCTCCTACTTGTTTCAAAAGTTTTCCCTGTCTGACACACTCCCTCCACCCTCCAGCCTCCAACTGAATGGGTCCGTCATCTGGAAGTATCTCAGAGAGCCAACCAAGAGTAGCATTTGCACTCCCTGCTCTCAATATCTGTTTAAGATCTGAGTGGCTACAACTTATTTCTGCAAAGACTCATATCCTTCAGTAAATCTTACTGGTATATGAACAAGAATCCCTGTCTAATTTCCTCTATAAGTGTCAATCCGTCATCTTCTTGAAGGGGAACCCATGATCTCACAAGGCAGCCCATTCCACTTTGGCTCAAACTATTGAAATAGATTTTCTAAAATCAAGTTAGGAATAGAGAGACAAGAATGGAAAAAGCATGGGAGGAACTTCTGGTTTGATTTTGGAGTAAAGATCTCATAGAAACAAAAGATATAAGGGAGTGCCAGATTGCGGACTACTGACAACAAAGGCTGAGGGAGCCCATAGGAGAGCAGAGCAGTCATGGGCGTCATACAGGTAGGTTACCCTATACCCTGATTAACTTTATTACTCTCCAATTTCCTTTCCAACTGTACTTTTGACTTTCTGAATTTTGCCTCCATGCCTCAGTCTTACCCTGGAATTTCTCCCAGTTTTTGGGACCTCCTCACCCTGCATATCCCTGCCCCTTGTGGCCTTTTCAACCTGGACCATCCCTCTGCCATTTTGGACTTTTTTCCCAGTAGTGAGTTCCTCGTGGAGCCTCTGTTTTGAGGAGGGGCCCAGGATGACCTTCTTTCATCCTCTTCTTGGCTATTCCGATTTTCTGGACTTAGGACATCATGTTCCCTTATCTTTTCAGGTCCCTTTGGTATGCTGTAAACCCATTAGTATGTAAACTCCTTTGGGACTGAAAGGAAGAGAAGGGAACAACCTTTTTTTTTCAGCCAAAAACAAGGTTTATTAAAATATTGATCGGGCGTGGATGAGATTTAAAGAATCCACCATATTAGTCAGACTCTTAAGGAATCTCAGCATTTGTATCGCTAATGCAAGCGGGCCAGATGTTAAGAATCTGAGCCTGGGGAAGAAGCATTTTTAAGCTTATTATGTGCCAGGCACTGTGTTAAGCACATGACAAATATTTTCTCATTTGATCCTCACAACAATCTTGGCAGACTGGTGCTGTTATTATCCCCACTTTACAATTGAGGAAACTGAGGTAAAAAAGATGAAATGATTTGCCTAGGTTTACATAGCTAGTTAATATCCAAGGCATAATTTGAACTCTGGGTCTTGCTGACTCAAGGCCTAGGGCTCTATCCATTGCACCACTTAGCTGCATGGACTATTTTTTTATTCTTTTTATATATTTATTCTTTTGTATTCCCAGGAATTAGCACAGGGTAAGGGTAAGTGCATAATATTTCATAAATGCTTCTTGCCTTGCCTTGACTATTTTACAGGTGAAGAAAATAAGGCTTAAAAAAAGGCAGTGACTTGCATAAGATCACACAGCTCACTAATGCTCCAGCAGGAATTAGGCCCAGTCTTCTGACTCCAAGGCCAGGATCAACTGGAAACCATGTTGTTCTGCCGTCAAGGCTTCCTAACTTTGCTTCCAATCCTTCAAGACTACTTCTCACACACCTCCAGACTCAGTCCTCCCCAAAGTGCGCAGAGAACCTCATCTGAAGTGAAAATTCTAGCCCTTGGCTACTTAGTCCTTAGCCCTTCTTAACCTTGGCCACGTCACTTCCACTCTTTGAGACCCAATTTCCTCCTTAGTCAAAGGAGTGGATGATAACTAAGGTCCCTATCAGCTTTCAATTCTGTGACCTATGATTCATGTTCTAATGGGGGAGCTGATCGTCAAGCAACTGTGTACATACGATACAGTGTCAATGGGAAGTAGTCTCAGGGGGAAAGAATTACCCTGATTGTCTCTGAGTGGAAGCAAAAGTTGGAATTTGAGCTGAGCCTGGAAGGAAGACAGTGGGCTGAGATGAGGAGGCAGAGCATTCCAGGCTCATTTCCAGTCCACCATTGTTTTCAAGTCAGATTCTTATCTGGGATGGGGGTTGAGGGTAGGGTGTGGGGATGAGGCTCCACCCCTTGATGGGTGGGGTCCCAATGGGTCCCAGCTATTCAACACTCATTTCCATTAATCTCACTGGAACAGCAGCTCTCTCTTTCTGGAGACCTGAGCATCTAGGGGTGGCCCCAAGCTGAAGAGCCAAGAAGCCTCCTTGAGGACTTTCTCCAGTATTTCTTTCTGGCTATCTTCCAGGAGAGGGAGGTGTTATCTTTCACCTTGGAACCAAGTGGAATCAACAAACGTCTTGGAATTTTCGAGTGGAGGGTGAGCTCACCCAGCCTGAATTAGACCAGTGAGTGGGGAAGTGAGCTCTCAGCTGTTCTCACTGAGTTCAAAATGACTCCACCTGCGCCCTAGGTGCACAAACAGTTGGCATGAGGCCATGGCAGCAGGGAGTAGAATCAAGGGTGGGGGTGGTATAGACCAGCCTTTCTCTGCTCTCAGTTCCTACTGTACTGTGGAATATACACAGTGACAATTTACCTTGACAAAGACCTGAAGGTCAGTTGTGGAGGTGGTCATCAAGAAAGGTTGCAGCTTCTCAGTGACTGCAAAGTGGTGACATTTTTTGGGTTGTCTCACTGTTTCTTACAGAAGAAATTGAGTAGAAGCAAACTTGAAATTTCTGTTCTGCTCAAAGTATTCCCTAATACATCAATCATGTTGGAACAAATTCACATTTTCAAAAGACACATAGCAGGAATAGATGTGTGAAACATAAAGAAGACAGCATGACACAGGGATTAAATGTGTTACCTGAGGGTAACAGAACTTTTGGGGAACTGGGTATAACCCAAAAGTGACAGAGATGTGTGAAGCAAGTATGTATATATGTATATATGTGTGTGTGTGTGTGTTTTACATAGGTATGTTTTTGTGATATAGATACATGGCACTTGGGATGTATGAGTCTGTGTGTATAAAACGGGCTTCATAGGGATGTGAGTGACACAGAGGAGGCTTGTGTCATGGAGAGCTGGGGTCATTTGGGAACTACAAGGGGAGGATAAAGAGAAAAGGACAAAGTAGGAAGGGTGTGTGTGTGTGTGTGTGTGTGGAGAACCATGAAGCCTCCCTTGAGGTTTAGAAGAAGTATGTGATAGATAAATTAATAAATAAGCATTTTTTAAAGCCCAACTATGTGTCAGACACTGTGAAAAGTACTCAAGATGCAAAGGCAAAAGTGAAATACCGCCTTTTGTGGTTGTTGTTGCTGTTGAGTTGATTAGTGGTGTCTGACTCTTCAAGACCCTTGCTTGACTATAGCAAACTAGGCCCTTCTATCCTCTACTATCTCTGAAAGTCTAAGTTCATGGTCATTGTTTCCATGACACTATCCACCTATCTCATCCTCTGCTGCCCGCTTCTCCTTTTGCCTTCAACCTTTTCCAACATCTGGGACTTTTCCAATGAGTCTTGTCTTCCCATTATGTGGCCAAAGTATTTGTTTCAGTTTTACTATTTGACCTTCCAGTGAATGGCCTGAATTAATTTCTTTAAGTATTGACTGATGTGATCTCCTTGCTGTCCAAGGGACTCTCAAAAGTCTTCTCCAGCAACACCAATGGAGAGCATTGTACCAGTGTAGACATTACATGTATGACTATATGCCAGATAGATACAAGACAATGGTGTGGGGGGCAGGAGAGGTACTGGCACCGTGGGGGGTGCAGGAGTAGGAGGAAATATCTCAGGCAGGAATTAGTGCTTGATAGGATTCTTAAGGGAATTTGGTGAGTTGTTTCGTACAGCTCTTCATAATTCCACTTCGGAGGTTTTTCTTTCTTTCTTTTGGGCAGAGATATTGGAGTGGTTTGCATTTCCTTCTCCAGTTCATTTTACAGATGAGGAAACTGAGGCAAACAGAGTGAAGTGACTTGTCCAGGGTCACATAGCTAGTAAGAATCTGAGGCCAGATTTGAACTCCAGAAGATGACTCTTCCTGATTCCAAACCCAGTGCTCTATCCACCGGGCCACCTAGCTGCCTTAAAGGTAACAGAGGATAAATGCTTTTTTGAATAAAGAGAAGCTGAGGAGGAAGTGTGTTCCAGGCATGGGGGACAGAGTGTCATCAGGAGGACAGACTTATAGGAGCCCCAGAGCCCCCCTAGTTGAGCAGCAGGCTTGGTGGGACCCTGTGCACGGGGTGTGGGTTCAGTGAGCACTAGCTGTGTAGATGTGAGTTGGGGCAACCCTTTAAGGATAGGGGATGTTTATCGGGGAGGATAGAGGATAGAGGGAATGGGGAGGAAGCGCTTACCTGTTGCTGCGGTGCAATAAGTTGGAAGACAGTTGGGACCGACTACCCCCACCACTTGAGCAGTTCAGGGGGCATGGGCTCTATCTGTGTCCTTTCTGCCCAGGCAGGATGCTTCTTCACAGTAATGTGGAGATTAGCCTCAGAGAAACTTCTCCCCTCTCACCCTTTCTTCCAGGAGCAGAAGAGAAGACTCTGGCAGAAGGCAGTGCCCCAGTGCTTCAGGGAAAGGGAAGGGCAAGGGCTGAGGATCTGAGATGAAGGTGGGGGCTCGAGCATACAACGCAGTCCTGGAATCTGGGTGGGCTACAAGGCTCAGGAGAAGAAGGGGACCCAGATGAAAGTCAGTGGAAAGGAAGATCTTAAGGAAGAGAGGGTCTCTTGGAGGACTAGCGTCCCTGGGACAGGGACAGGGTCCCTGGAGAGTGGAGAGTGGAGAGTGGAGGGTAGAGAAAAGCTCAGAGTGAGGTGGAGCCCGAGCCTGGGAACTGAAGTGGGTGGGACGGAGGGAGTTTGGGAGTGAGAACACAGAGGATCTTGGGCGGGCTCTGGAAGGTGGTTTTGGAGGGAGGAGGGTGGTTCGCTGGCCAGGGGCCAGAGGCTGGGGGTAGAAAGAGGTGTCAGCAGCAGGTGATGCCTAGGACGGGGAGGAAAGTGATGATGCAGGTGGGGGAGCGGAAAAAGGAGCTAGTGGAGCCCGATGGGTTCCAAACGGGTACCAGACGTCCCAAAACCTGTACCTGTCTCCTCTTTACCTCTCTGGCCTGGCTCCAGGCGCTCCTCCAGCCCTATACTGAAAGGGAGGATAGACTGAACTTTCCAGTCATGGCCCCTGGGCTTCCAGGGACTTAGCCAATCTCCAACCCAGCACATATTCCTCCATGCAAGCTCACCTCCACCCATCCCCCCCAGGATCACCACCCTGCCTCACATTGGGGCAGTCAGCCCCACTCAAGAAATAGGAGTACATTCTCCCTCCAGACACTTCTGGTGCTCCCAGGCTCATGACACCGCTCCCTCTAGACACTGAACACAAGGACACATAGCCCCTTCCTACCTTTCCAGTATTCTAACACTATTCTTACTATACCGAGACACCTTCCCTGTCCATATACTCTTATGATCCAGCTACACTGGCTCCTTGCTGCTCTCAGCACGTGGCCATGTTTCGACTCCATGCCTTTTCTCTGGCTGTCCCTTACGCCTGCAGCGCCTTCCTCATCTTATTTCAAGTCTTGACTTCCTTCAGGACTCAGCTCCAATTTCTCACCTGGAGGAGGCCTTTCCCTGTCCCACCCTTCTTCTTCTCTTCCCCTTTACCTCCACCCCATCCCTCTGAGTTACATCCCACTTCCACTTGTATATCCATTCTTAGAATGGGAGTTCCTTGAGCTCAGGGCTCCTGTTACCTTTCTTTATATACCCAAAGCTTAGAATAGTGCCTGGTATATAGTAAGTGCTTAACAAATGTTGACTCATTCCCACTGGTTCACAGTTCCCTCAAGACACAGATTCATGGCTTCCAAGGAACACTCCCACCCACTAACAGCTCCCCACAGGTTTAGGGGTTCCCCACCACAAGATATTAGTGCCCTCTCAGACTCAGTTGCCCCAACACCAAGTACCACCCTAGAGTATTCAGACACAGGCTCCCCTCCTCCCTCAATTTTCTCCCCTTCTTTCCAGTCCCAGCTAAATTCCTACCTTCTTCAGGAGGCTTTTCCCAGTCTCTCCCTAATGCTAGTGCCTTCCCTCTGTTGAATGTCTCCAATTTATCCTGTATATAACTTATTTGAACATAATTGTTTGCATTTTGTCTTCCCTATTAAATTGCGAGTTCCTCAGAGCAGGAACTATCTTTTTTTAACCTTTCTTTTTTTTATCCCCAATGATTAGCAGAGTGACTAGCACATAGTAGGCACTTAATAAATGTATGTTGACTGACTTCTCCTTGCCCCCGAAAAGCAGGATGATTAGGGGAGTGTGTGCTCAAATTGTTCTTCTCAGGCACCAAGCTGGAGACAAGAGCTTTCCCGACTCAGACCTGGTCCCTCCTATCCTTTCCTTTTGGTAAGCATGATCACATGTATTTGGTAACTTACAGGCTCTGCCCATTGTGGACTCTATGAACTGAACCTGTGAGAGGAGGAAGACTGTCCTTCCCTTCCTCTCTTCCTTTTACCTGAGAATTTGTCCTGTTCAGGGATGGGGCTACAGGTGGAGGTGGGGTGTTGTTTCCATTTTATCTTGTTTGTCCTCAGTTTCAGGTCTGGGAGGTGATCCTTATGGGTCAGGGAGTTCAAACCATGGGCTTGGACCTTGGAGCCAAGATCGGAGGCAGGGAGGTAAATCAAGCTAACATGGAATGGAGGCTCTGTGAAATCAGGGTGCCTGGGATGCAAGCCCCCCAAGGGGGTGGGCTTGGACTTGGAACTGAGACTGTGCCCTATGAGAACCGAGCAAAGCTGTGAATCTGATCCTGTTCTTTTCCCATACACTGAAGTGGCGCGGGGTGTGGGGTGGGAAAAGGATTGGGGGGAACAGGATGAGGGGAGAAGGATTACGCTTTTCACATTTGGGGGGAATAAGATTGTGTGTTTGTAATTGTATCTTTTTTTTTAACAGACAAGTCCAAATAACAGAGAAGTTATTTAAAACTACATTTTAAGTTTAAAGTTACTAAGCAAATCACAATGAAAAATAAAGAAGAGAACAGTGCAGCAAGCCTTGAATCTAGGGAGGCTCCAGTCTCTGACTTGTGACCTGCCAGAACAGAAGTCTTCTAAAAAGCAGTGGGTCAAAAACTAATTTACATTTTTATATAAATGGAAACAAGTTTGTTTATTTAGTGCCCGTGGAAGATATGCATTGCTGGAGGGGCAGGGGAAGGCAGGTAGCTGGAGATCTCTCACAGGCTTCTGGCTGCAACAGTCTCAGGTTCTTTCAGGGTCTGAGGGTTCCCAGTCAATTCTTCAGTGTGAGGCATGGCTAATATTTCCTCAGATAAACAGTTACTCTGCTCCTTTGCTGCCATTTTTCTCTGTATTTTCCAGTTCTTTGTTACCACAAAGAGAGATGCTATAAAGATCTCATTCACATTTAAAGTTGTAAATTTCCCTCTATCTTATTTTTCCTCACTATTTTCTTTCTCAGCCTCTCTTTTTATTTCCAAATGGTTAGCTTTCTTTTCATAATATTTTTGCTTTGCTTTTATTTTTCCCCCTAATTTTTTCTTGATCTTTCTTATTTGATTTTTGAATTCCTTTTTAAGTTCTCCCAAGAACTCTTTTTGGATTTGTGACCATTTGGGGTCACTCCTTGAGGTAGGAATGACTTTTTTTTTTAACCTTACTATCTTCCTCTGAATAGGAATCCAGATCTTTACACCAAAGTAGCTGTCTATGGTCAGGTTTTTTTCTTTGCTTACTCATTTTTATTTTGTTTTATTTTATTTTTAGCAGATTATTATTATTATTATGTTTAGTGAGGCAATCGGGGTTAAGTGACTTGCCCAGATTCACACAGCTAATAAGTGTCAAGTGTTTGAGATTGGATTTGAACTCAGGTCCTCCTGACTCCAAGGCTGGAGCTGTATCCACTGCACCACCTAGCTGCCCTGCAGTTTATTATTGAAATCAGATTTTAATCCCAAGTAGTAGGTAATGTTGCCCTAGGCCTCAGGTCCTCCTCACTGTTATTTTTTGAATTCTGTCTGGGAGGTCAAACTCAGGACTGCTCTCCTCTCCTAGGTCACAATTAAGGCCCGCAACTAAAATGTCCCCAAAATGTTCTTACTCCCTGTGGGTACTGCGTTCACTGGGTATATGCTTGCTCCTCCCTGCCCACAGCCATAGGCCTGGATCACTACTGCTAGGTAGCGATCCTTTAATCTTCCCTCACTCAGCTGTCTGCTGTTACTTAGATGAAAGTTTGTGAGGTAAAAGTTTAATTTCTTGAGGCCATGACTGAGGTGAAAGTTGAGGTAAAGTTTCTTGAGGCCTACTCAACTTCCTCAGATGGCTGCCCTCAGGGCCTACTATTTGTTAATTCAGTGGAGTTGGCCCCAAAGTGTCTATATTTCACTCTGGTCAAACCTCAGCCCCTGGAAGGCCTGTCTTTTCTGAGGTCTTCTCAAGTTATTTTAGGAGGACAACTGTTTTATCCCTTTATTTTTGCTGCTGTATGTTCATTTCATGGCAATTTTCTGTTTGTGGAGGATATTTGGAGAGCCTGGAAATTTCTGACCTGCTCTGCCATCTTTCCAGAATGCCCCCACCCCTAAAATTCTATTCATATTCTTAACTTCTTTCTTGTTTATTTTTAAATTAAAAAAATTATGGAATAAAACACTCATGTCCATAACATAGTATAATAAAACATGACTGCACATGAAACTGCACATCTATTACATACAACTTGTTATTCCTTTTAAATATATAAAAATTATCACATAATTTCTTTTTTCCTCCTTTATTTCCTTTCCTTTTTTCCTTCCTTCTTCCTTCTCCCTAGAGATGGCTACCATTAGACCCAAATATGTATATATATGTAAAGTCATTCTATACATACTTTTATTTATCAGTTTTTTCTCTGGATGCCCATAGCCTCTTCCTTCCCATGTCCTTTTTAGTTAACTTGGGTATTTATAATAGTTAAAATGATTATTTGCTCAAAATTATTATTAAAACAATATTGCTGTTACTGAATACAGTGTTTTCTTGGTTCTGCTCCTTCTACTCTTCATTATTTCACACAACTCTATCCATTTTATTTCTAATCAGATTGGCAAAGATGATTGAAAAAAAGAAAAATGACAAATGCTTGAGGGGCTGTGGAAAAAAAAAATGTTTCTGGAACTGTGAACTGGTCCAGCTATTCTGGAAAGTGATTTGGAACTCTCAGTATATGTATGTATATATGTATCTATACATACACGCACATACATATTATATGTAATGTTGAATGTATAATAAATATTTGGAAGTATATATAATATGTATATATAATGTCTACATGCATATATAAACTGTACATATGTCTGTATACACACATATATTTAAAGAAAAGACAGTGTAGCAATGGCAGAGTAGGATGGTGAGCAGGTTGCTTAGACCCTAGCATTTACCCTCATTGTCTAGATGCGTTTCCCAAAACAAACATTCTCTTTTTGGTCTGGGAATCTGTAACAAAATAGTCTATAGTACTCAGTTTGTACAGACCTCAGCAGTCTTGTACTCCACCCCATATGCAAAACTGAAGACTTATGGGGACATTATTCTTGACACAAAGTAGGGTACTTAATAAATGCTTCTTTTTTAATATTTTATTTTTTTCCCAATTATGTATAAAAACAATTTTAACATTTTTTTTTCAAATTTTGAGTTCCAAATTTTCTCCCTCCCTCCCCTCCTCCTCCTCATCGAGAAGACGAGAAATCTGACATAGGTTATACATGCAATCATGCAAAACAATTCCATGTAAGTCATGCTGTGAAAGAAAGCACAGGAGCCAAGATGGCAGAGTAAAAGCAATGACTTGCTTGAGCTCTCCCCAAAACCCCTCCAAATACCTATAAAAATGGCTCTAAACAAATTCTAAAACAGCAGAACCCACAAAAAGACAGAGTGAAACAAATTTCCAACCCAAGATAACCTGGATGGTTGATCAGAAAGGTATATCGCGCCAGGATGGGAGAGGAACACAGTTTGACGTGGGCGCACAGGCTACAGCGAACCTGGAGCAGACCTCAGAGGACTGAATCACAGGCAGCTGTAGTGGTTTCCAGACTTCTCAACCTATGAATGCCAAAGACAACTTAGAAGGTCACTGGGAAAAGTCTGTTTCTATGGTGAGAGAGTAGCGCAGGGTCCCAGCCCCATTCCCCAAGCTTGGTCCCAGGGCGGTGACTGCCTCCTGAGCTTCCAGCCCACAGGCTGAGGGGGAATTGAATGGCTGATCAGAGGGGGATTGCAGGGATCTCTCTGCTGGTGTAGGATTCTCTTTCTTTGCCCATGCTTGGATCTGGGTCATAGTTCAGGGTGGTGGTCCTGGGGCAAGGAGGAGCACTGGCATGGTGGAGCTTGTAGTGGCTGTGGAGAAGAAATCCTCCTTGCAGTTCCAAGACAGAAAAGAGTGCTTGTGGTCATTCATAGAGCAGAGTACAGGCCAGGAAAGGAGTAAACACCTCGCCCTTGATCATAGCACCTTGGAACAACTGAAAATTTACAGGTCCCTTGAAGTATCTCTGAAAACAGCAGCACAAAATCCCTGAAGCTTGGGACAGTACATTCTCCACACTGGAAACAGACCCCTATCTTTACAAAGAGTTTGTAACTAATTGACCAGGATCATGAGCAAGCAGCACAAAAAGAGTCAGACTATATTATCTTACTTTGGTGACAAAGAAGATCAAAACACACAACCAGAAGAAGACAATGAAGCCAAAGCTCCTACATCCAAAGCTTCCAAGAAAAATATGAATTGGTCCCAGGCCATGGAAGAGCTCAAAAAAGATTTTGAGAAGCAAGTAAGAGAAGTAGAGGAAAAACTGAGAGTGATGCTAAAGGAGACCCAAAAAACTACTGAAGAAAATAACACCTTAAAAATAGCCTAACCCAAAGAGGTCCAAAAAGCCAATGAGGAGAAGAATGCCCTAAAAAGCAAAATTTGTCAAATGGAAAAGGGAAGTCCAAAAGCTAACTGAAGAAAATACTTCCTTAAAAATTAGAATGGAGCAATTGGAAGCTAGTGACAATTTGAGAAATCAAGGCACTGTAAAACTAATCCAAATGTATGAAAAAATAGAAGAAAATGTGAAATATCTCATGGGAAAAACAACTGACCTGGAAAATAGATCCAGGAGAGAGAACTTAAAAATTATTGGACTATCTGAAAGCCATGATCAAAAAAAGAGCCTAGACATCATCTTTCAAGAAATTATCAAGGAAAACTGCCCTGATATTTTAGAACCAAAGGACAAAATAGAAATTGAAAGAATCCACTGATCACCTCCTGAAGGAGATCCCCAAAGGAAAACTTCTAGGAATGTTGTAGCCAAATTCTGAGGTTCCCAGGTCAAGGAGAGGATATTGTAGGCAACCAGAAAGAAACAATTCAAGTACTGTGGAAACACAATCAGGATAACACAAAATTTAGCAACTTCTACATTAAGGGTCCAGAGGGCATGGAGTATGATATTCTGGAGGGCAAAGGAGATAGGATTACAGCTAAGAATCACCTACCCAGCAAAACCGAGTATAATCCTTCAGAGGGGAAAATGGATATTCAGTGAAATAGGGGACTTTCAAGAATTCCTGAGGAAAAGACCAGAGCTGAATATAAAATTTGACTTTCAAATACAAGACTCAAGTGAAACATGGAAGAGGTGAACAGGAAATAAAAATCATAAGAGACTAATTAAGGTTGAACTGTTTACATTCCTGCAGGGAAAGATGATATTTGTAACTCATGAGTCCTTTGTCAGTATTACGGTAGTGGGAGGGAAAAAATTATATGTATGTATAGATGGATAGAGGGCACAGGGTGAGTTGAAGATGAAAGGGTGATATCTGGAAAATAAAATTAAGGGGTGAGAGAGGATTATACTGGGAGAAGGAGAAAGGTAGAAGTAGAATGGGGTAAATTATCTCATGAAACAGACAAGAAAAGGCTTTTACAGTGGAGGGGAAATAGGGGAAGGTGAGAGGGAATGAGTGAATCTTATTCTCGTAGGATTTGGCTTAAGGAGGGAGTAACATACACAATTGGGGTATGGAAATCTATCTTGCCCTACAGGAAAATAGGGGGGAAGGGGATGAGAGCAGGGGGGATAATAGAGGGTAGGGCAGATTAGGGGAGGAAGTAATCAGAAGCAAATACTTCTGAGGAAAGACAGGGTCAAAAGAGAGAATAGAATAAATGGGGGGTAGGATAGAATGAAGGGAAAAATACTTAGTTTTTCACAACATGACTACTATGGAAATCTTTTGCATGATGACACATCTATAACCTGTTTCGAGATGCTTGCCTTTTCAATGAAGGTGGGTGGGGAGGGAGGAA